TGAGTGTTCTGAAAATGAATTGGTAATGATTTCTTAAAGGTAATACACGTTTATGGTATAAAATCCTAAAAGCACAGAAGAGGGCATGCAGTGAAGAGTTGGTCGTACTCCTGCCCCTGTCCTCCACTGGCGCGGCTGCTTTAAAAGAAACCTGTGACCTTTCAGCAGGCACTTTCACCAATGCATTCATTTGGCCATTAACCCAGGATAAGGGTGATAGCCCCATCTCCTTAGCAGACAAAACTGCACAGACCTCCTCTGGCACAGAATGAAGTGGCAGCTCTGAGTGGCGGGTGACCAAGAAATCTACTTCTCCTTCCCCTTGGCCCCCATCTTCACCTACCCACGTCCTCCAAGGCCAGGTCATGTGTGGTCTCCTGTGGTAAGCCTGGCCTCTCTGACCTTTGCACCCGCCAGCCCTCTGGCATTTCTCATACACTCCTTGAGGACAGAGCTCGAGTCCCTGCTCCACAGGATGCTCCTTCCGGTCTGGGACCCTGGCCGATGCACTGGGTGGAGGTGGGGATTTCCTGTTGCTGCACGTTACTGAGGGGATTGCTCAGTAAATGGCCGTATGTTCCTTCATTGAACTCCTTGACCCCTACTGTGTATCAGACAGAGAGGCAGACACCAAGGCTGCACTAGTAAATAAAACAAACAGTCTGGAGGAGAAGACAAACCAACAAACAATAGCAGTAGTTAAATATAATTGTGTGACGTGCTACAGGGAATCCCAGACTGCACTGAGAGCCTATGTCAGGTTGCTGAGCTGGTCAGAGAAAACTTCACGGAGAAGTGCAACCATATTGCATTGAACCTAAAATGCTGTGGTTTCTAAGATATATTGTTATCTTATGTACCTCTAAGGAAGAAGATATTGCCAATTAAATTAGGACAGAATGCTTTTGTGCTTAGAATTTTTACTTCTGCTTATCAAAAGGACTCTTTTAGACTAGTTTAGACATAGATTCTTCGTGTGTCACTTTTGTACATACATTAAAAGGAACATATAAGCACAATCAGTTGGTTGAGGTCTTCCTAACCTTAGTTCTTCACTTTCTGAGTCTGACTCTTCTGAATCACTTCTCAGCTGAGCTCCTCCATATCCCTTTATGACTATGTCGTATCACTGCCTTCCAGAGCACTGGTGATACAGAGCTCTTGTCTCTGGGATTTTCATCCACGCTGCCGATACCCATTCTGCCAGGTTGGATGCTGCCACTTTCTTGATCTTACCAGAGGTGTCAGTGGAATGTGTTTCAGACAACCGGGACTCCTATTTCTTCTTCACGTGGTTCTTAATGGTTTGTGGTTCAGTTCAGTTGTCCAGTCCATGCCATGAGGAATAATAACCAAATGCATTCATATGTAGACAATGACAGTGATAGATATCAAGGCAACAATAATTGTAAGACACACCCCCATCTCAGAGATGAGAAAAATATGTATGTCTTGAAATTGATTAAAGTCATTTACAAGAAGTCTAGGAGTAAGTGGGTGCTGTCATTATTCTAGTGAGGAAGTGATGTCAAGGCTCTGGATGGATGTTTCTATGAGTCTCTTAGTCACAGATGGCAGCTCCACCATGCTCAGAGGCAGAAAACAGGGAGCAGGGTCAGGCCTTTCTTCTCTTAGCAAGAGAAAATACCTTTCCCAGAAATCCCTTAGCAGATCTCCCCTTACATTGGGCAGAATTACATCACATAGCCATCCATCGCTACAAGGGGGATTGGGAAATCTGTTTTTTGTTTGTTTGTTTGTTTGTTTTAACCATGTCAAGAATGGGGTTGGGGATGACTTTTGGATGGCCAACTAACAGTATAACCCACTGTGGGCAAATTCGTTTGAGCTACAGTGAGTGAACCTGAAACACTGGAGGACCTCTCAAAGGCTTTAATATTGTAATGTGGCTCATTGAATTATGGAGAATATGGCATTAAGCTTTAACAAACTTAGGGGATCCAACTTTATTTTCACAAAATAGGAAGCCCAATTTTGTGGAGTACCAGTGAACAATTCTTGGTTGTTCCCAGAATAATAAAATGGAGGTTCTTCAGAGCAGAGCCAAAGTGGCAGCGTGGATTGGGGTCTGTGGAAAGCGAATGGCAGTAGGTTTGGAGAGGAGCCTGAGCAGGGCTGAGAGGTTTACAAATGAGAGAACCATATCAATTCTAACCATTTCAGAATGTTTTGACAGATAAAGGCTAATTTGTTTTCGAGATCTTGTATCCATGCTGCTGTGATGTTGCCTGAGTCAGGACTGTGTTGATACAGAGCTACTATTATCCCTTTTTCTTTCCTAACCTCTGCCACTTCCAGTCTTCATGATGCTCGTGATATTGGAGCTAGGCTGGCTGGCTGGCTTCTGGGAGTGGAACTGAGTGCTTTGCCGAAAAGGACATGTACGGTGTCCGCTGCTGCATGCTCTCAGATACATTGCTGAGCATTTTGCAAGAGCTGCTAGACACATTGATGGAGTTCATCCCCGGCCATTTATTTGGGCTTGGGGTCATGAAGCCCCTCCGTGTCCTTTTGGCCAGATGCTCTCTTTTGATTTTTTATTTCGACAACAACTTGTGTGTCTCAGGCAACAGTATCCTCCTCACCGTCACCATCATCATCATCACCATCACCATCATAACTGGCATTTTTTGAACACTTACTATGCATTGGGCTTTATAATGGATAGTATTTGGGCATAAACTCATGTAATCCTCATCATGTGGATGCTCCTTGGCAGAGAATATTGAGGGGTGGACAGAGGTGAAGGTCACCCAGCTATTAGTGATACGGCTGTAATTTGACTCTAGTCTGATTCTAGAACCCTTGCTCTTAATCTTCACTTTCTGTAGCTTCTGGTACGGCAGCTCTGTGTGGTTATTTGTACATTTGTCTTTTTACATTTTGTCCGAAATCGAGCTGTATATTTGGTGTTTCCTAAGAACACCTAGCACACTGTCTTGCCCAGAGAACTTGTCCTTGATAAATAATTGTTGAACAGAAGTAACTGAACGGGAGGAAGACTGAAAGCGAGCCAGTGAGTGGTCTTCTTGGGCGTGAACCTAACGCTGAATGACTCCATTGTCCACAGCAGTATTTCTCTCCTCTTTTCAGAGTCCATTTTTGTTCTTTAGTCCTCTCATTTCTTCTAAGTTCTCGATGTCCCCTAAAATGCTTCCAAGTGGGTCATTGGCTGATGGGTTTTGGAGGGGATTATACTGGGCAGCTACTCCCACCTGGTTTTTGTGGCACAGACCACCCAACTGTTAATGTCTAGAAGGTGAGCCCTCAGACCCCTTGGCCACCATCGTGCAGTGTGGTATCTGAGGCTACCAGGGGGATTTCCATCTCTTTTTTACATCAGACATCCCTTTGCCTGGATTTACAATTTGAATTGTATCTGTTTGATTACTTAAATAGTTTTCCTTTTTGCTGTTAGTTTCCTAGAGACGTTTTTATATCTTTGGTAGAACTGATCTTTTTGATATTTTCATGCATCTTTGTTTTATTCTGACATTTCTTCTAGACCTGTCTGCAAGCTCCTTTTGTTTCCCCCCTTCCCTCTAACGAACTCATTCTGCATTTGCTCCTTTATCTGACTGGCTCTTTGACTAGTCACTTCTATGGACTGCTGTGCTTTGTTGGCCTTTTTCATTGCCTTTTTTTTTTTTTTTTCCTCCTTAAGTAAAATGAAAAAAGTCCTCCAAACCCTCTGCCATGTTGAAAGCGTCCCACCAAGCTGTTTTGGTCCTTGTTTGTTTCATCAATCCCACCCCCAACCCAGAGCCCTCTTGTTAGCTGTTCTCACTGATTTTGTGCTGATGTGTTGGTTCTGTTCGATCTGTCGTGCCTTATTGTCCCCAAGTCCTCTAGCTCTCTAGAACCACTCTTTCCTTCATTATCCAAACAGAATACCTCCTCCCCCTTCCCCTGCTGTCCCATGTACCCATGGGAAGTCTGCAGGCCCTTCAGTATTTCTGACGACACCAAACTTCATCCATTTGCTTGCTGGTTACTTGCCTGGCTCCTTCTGCTCCAATCCCAACCCAATTCTCAATAACCCCAGTCTCCTACCAGAGCCCATTCCCCTCTCAGGTTCCTTCTCCCCCAAACACAAGCTCCCTCTCCAGCCCCTGAGGCGCCCCTGAGGGAAAGCCGCTCTCCCTGAGGCTTCACTGTGATCCTTTTCACTCTGACACAGATTCTCTGACCCAGACAGCAAGGACCTTCCCTTTCATAAGTATAATGGATTGATCTTGCTTTCCTAAACAAAAGAATAATTTTCCCCTGAGATGAATTCTGTGACTCTCTCAGAATATGAAATGGTTATAGTCAGCAGGGTTTTTTTTTTTTCTTAGTATCATTTTTTTCCCCTTCCTGATTCATTACCTTTTGGGTATTTTATGAAGCTCAAATGCGAGAATGGAAGTAAATGTGCCTCATAAACAGTAACATGAACAGATAAGAGAAATTGCTATTGTCAAACATTTTAAAAAATACTGGCTGAATATTATTTCCTTGGAAAAGAGTAAGGACTGAGCACATAGATGATTATGTTTTGCTCTTTCTGACCAGATCCTTGTGTACTGGGAACTGAGCAAAATGTGGCTATGTAGGGATTTTTATTTATGTCCAGCCAGAGAAGCAGCAAACAACCCCTCAAGAGCAGGAACTGCAGGCAACAATTATCCCCTTGGCCCTGGGTTTGTCCCCGGCTCTAGCTCATCCTGCGATGGGGGGCATCTGAAGGACATGAAGGAGCCGGGAGCCAGAGGAACAATTACTGAGACCCACAGGAGGCCCTGGAACATTCTGGGCCTTGAGCCTCTCAGTGCTCCCAGCAAGTCCACCAGGCACCTGCCCCTCTGCAGAGTCCTTCCAGCTCTTGAGTTCCACCTGGCTGACTGTCAGAATCCCCTTTTGTGGTGTCTGCCCCCCACAACTGCCTGTGCGGTGTGGGGCAGACCTCTGACGCGTGCCCCCTCCTGTGTTGTATCCAGGGACAGGGTGCCTTATCGGAGAGACTCCGGAGCTTCAGCATGCAGGACCTCACCACCATCAGGGGTGACGGTGCCCCTGCTCCCTCCAGCCCCCCCCCACCGGGGTCTGGGCGAGCCAGCAGCAAACACGGCCAGCCCAAGATGTCCAGGAGCGCTTCTGAGAGCGCTGGCAGCTCAGGTAGGTGTCCTTCACTCCTCCCCCTTCCCAGTTTCTAGGCCTTGCTTTCACTGCGAGCGGCCCGGTCCACACCACGTGCCGTGTAACCTGGAGTTGCCATCCACACAGATGTCCGTCCGATCGTGCCAGGCCTGCTGAGAGGCAGAGCACCACTTGGGCCAGGATGGGAGGCTGGCCTGAGGACTCTGATCAGGGGCAGGCAGGATTAGGCCATCTGCACCAAAGGTCTTGCCTGCTCCATCTGATGATCTGAGGGTTTGGGGGTGGTTGGGGAATAGTGCCTGAACCAAGCCTGGAGGCAACGGGCCTGGCTGGCCCTGGGCCAAGGCAGCTTTCTCTGCTCTCTTCCTCTCTGACCTTGTACTCCCGGGAGGGCTTACCTGCACCTGAGTGTCTCCTCATACCCACCCAGGGCTTGTAGCTCTTGTGGTCCCTTTTCCCTGCCCTCTCTCTCTCCCTCCACCATGTCCTCCCATCCCTGAGCCCATTCACCATGCCACACCCTCAGCCACTACGTGCCAAGGGCCGCACTAGCTCCGAGGTCTGATTCCCGTGGAGGCCACAGCTTTATGGAAACCCCACCTGTATCCCCGATGTCTCAGGTTACTTGTATTAGGATTGACTTGGGGGCCTCGTTAAACATGCAGAGTCCTGGGCCCATCCCCCGAGGTCCCAGTAAATCTGGGACAAGACCCAGATATGTGATGGTGGTGAGGTGCAGCCACATTTGGAACCCACTGGTGTCTGACCCATTAGTGGGTTTCAGGCTTATGGAGGGCAGGGGCATGAATTAGGCGGTAGGGAGCTGGGCCAGGATTCACATCTTCCCAGACCATTCCTTGGAGACCTTCCAGGGCCCTTGGCTCTCAGGAGCTGAGCACTGCCGGGTTAATGGTGAAGGGGGTACAGGGGCCGGTTCTGGATTGCCACCTCGACTCCTCACCCTTGGTGGAAAATTGAGCCTCATGGATGGGAATTGGACCACCCTTTTGGAGCCTGTGTCTGTGACATATGCCTGGTGGCTGCCCTGCTCTTAAACATAGAAACAGGGCCACGCAAGCTACCTGTGCTGGGAGTTGCAGCCTGCAGGAGGTGTCTGGGCGCCAAGCCTCAAGGACTCCACCGGACTTTTGGGGGTCTTGGACAGGGATGGGAAAGAAGAGGTCCTGTGGCTGCCCTAGGAATGAGGACTCATGTGCCCTGCCAGGAAGAGGAGAACAGCTCAAAGCCAGGCCAGGTGTCCATCAGTTTCCTCCCTTCTCAGCAATATCCCACTTTACCCTGGCCCCACGTGTGAAGATTGTGGCTTTTTTGTTGGAGGGGAGATGGTTTAACTCTGGCAGGGTTGGGAAGGTAGAAGCTTGGCCACAGCGGTGAGGATCACCTCGGGACGGGGGGTATCTCCTAAGTGAACCCTCCCAGGGGAGTTTAGAATGGAATCCCAGAAGGCCAGGCAGGAACGGACCTCAGGATCATTCAGTCTAACCCTCGGGTTTTACCAATGAAGAGACAGAAGCCCAGGGAAGGGAACTGTCACCAGGGTCACCCACTGATTGGCGTTCTCCTGGGGCCTCCTGACTCCTGGGCCAGTGCCCTCTGGGTGCTCATCCTCTGGCCGCCTAGGTTTCCTTGGGCATCTACAGCTTCTGACCTACTGGGCACTGTCTCAGAAAAAGGGATAGGAACTGGAATTAGGTATCACCTCCACCTTTGGTCAGCTCATTGGCTATAGAGCTTCAAATGAAAACTGTTATTTGGAAGAAAAACAGGCCCCAATTCTGTGAGGCTCAGAGGGCAGAGCAAGAACCAATGGGATAAAGTTGGATAAAGTTCCAAGGGGACAGCTGCTTACTAGCTGTGTGGCCTGGGCAAGCTCTTACCCTCTCTGAACCTCAGATTCTGGATCTGTACACGAGGGATGACAACACCCATTTGTAGGGGTGTCTTGGGGATTCAGATAAGATAATCCATGTGAAAGTGCTTAGGATCACACCTGGTATTCTATGTAGTAGCTGCTCTTATTGTTCCCATTGTTAATCTAACTTACCCATGAGAGCACTTTCTAATAGGAAAGTGTCCAGGAGAGAAACGGGCTGCCTTGCGAGGTCCCTGACATTGGAAGGGCCCAAACCAAAGTTGAATGGTCATGTACTGAGGCTCTAGGGAGGTCTTCCTGCTTTGGCCAGCAAGTGGGCCTCAGCAGCCCCACAGTCCCTTGCCCTCTAAGACTATGTTGTCACTATAAAGTGAACCAGGTAGAGGAAGTAGGCTCAGAGAGGTCAGGTACTGTGCCAAGGCCACACAAGACCAGATCCAGGCCTCCTGCCTAGACCTCTCCTTGGTGGATGATTCAGGACAGCCTCAGAACATGGGAAAGGGAGAAGTCTGGTAAGGTCTGAAGGCGATGGAAAGCATCTCCTGGGCTTTGACCATGGCCCCAGACCAGCACTAGACAGACACGGGGTCTGGGATGCTTTGTTTCGGTGCTGGCCCTGCTGCCTCCCATTAGCAGCGATGCCCTCCGCTGCACCCGGGACTCAGGCTGAGCCCGTGGAGCTCACGGAGAAGCAGAGAACCCACGATGCTGCAACATGACGCTGTGCTCCCCGCTGCTCGCCCTTGGCCACAGCACCTGTGATTCCAGGGGCCAGAGAAGGGAGGTGCTGACCCAGCAGGGAGGGCAGGGACCATGTGGTACTCGCTCCAGCTGTTCTGGGGCCTAAAATAAAAGTCGTCTCAGGAAGAGAGACAGGTGAAAGATGATCCAGCGCCTGGGCATGGGGTAGAAGCACCCAGATCAGAGGCTCCGGGGGCAGTTGGGGATCGAGGTGCCTGGAAGGAAGTCTGGCAAGGGAGGCCCCGCTACAAAGGGCTTGTGTCCCCTCCCTCCCCAGGTGAGGTGGGCTGGGGCCCGAGTCTGGGCTCCCATCCTGGCAGGGCGACCGTGGGCCTGTGTAGAGCAGCAGATGCAGTGCGAGCGAGGCAGACCTTGCCAGGCAGTTGCCACATTTGTTTGCCCGGGGCCTTGGTTTGGCCTCCAACCCTTTCTCAGAAAGATACCCCAGGCGGTCGCTACGGGAGAATTTGACCTGGGCACGGAAGACGAGCACAGTTCCCTTGAGCTTTCTCCTCTGAGAAGAGGGTACCGTCATCCCTACTCAGCCTATGTGTGAGGGCTGGGAGGAGAGCAAACAAGAAAATCTGCAACCCCGGACGGACGGCAGCTGTTGAAGGCAGCCTGGCAGCGGGACAGGTCGGAGGCGGTACTGGACCCCGCGGAGGTGTATGCAGCCGTGGGAGGCCACGGTCTCAATGTACATCCAGGCGGATCTCGAATACATGATGCCTAGTGAGAAAAGCACAAAGCAGAGTGAGATATTATGTAACAGCATAAGTAAAATAAAAATACATGCCCGTGGTGTGGAATAATAATATGGACTCTCCAGGAACACATCGCCCTCCTGACAGAATTTTGTTAGGCCCGTTTATTGAAAGCTTGGCATTGAACCCTGGGAAGGGTGCAGAGGGTGTTAAAAGAATGATCCTTACCTTCCATGAATGTGGAGACAGTCAGCATGCACTTAGTAAGCACCTACTGTATACCAAGCCCCAGATGTGCACCGAGACCAGTGGAGTTTGCAAGGCAACAGCCAAATGACTGACACTAAGCACTAAGCACTCTGGAGAGTCAGAGGTCAGTCTGAGAAGGTTTCCTGGACGTCATTCTGAACTGGAAGGCGTCGAGAGGAGGACAGGTGTGTGGGCAGGTGCGGTGGGAATTATTTCTTAGAGGACATAAGGCCGGACCCCTGTGGGCCAGGCAAGGGTATTTTCTAGCACCTGAGAGGGAGCTGAACCTGGAATGATCTCCTCCCCAACCTTGGTGTCTCTGCAGAGACCCACATGCCTGGGACCCCTATATTGAACCCACTGGAATTCCCACACCTCACTGGGGCCTCCCTGTTTCCTGGGGCTGGTTCCTGTCGAGTGAGGGATATCCCTGATGATGTCCCCCATCCCTACAGTGTGTACCTGCTGCTCCACCTGCAGGACCCGGAAAGGTGAGTAGGCTGCCAGCCTCTGTGCAGCGCGCTGGACGCTCTCCTCAGGAGGAGGTTCTAACCGGAAGCTGGCGCCTGACCTTGGGGCTCCCTTTCAGCTGCGTAGTCTGTGGGGAGGAGTAAGGAGGTTAAATCCCTAAGATGACAAACCTGTGTTATCCTACAGTGTCTGCAGACTAGGAATTCAGGAGCTGCCTAACTAGGTGGTTCTGGGTCAGGGTCTATTAAGAGTTGTAGTCATCTGAAGGCTTGACTGAGCCTTGAGGATCCACCTCTAAGATGGCTCTCTCATGGCTGCTGGCTGCAGGCTCAGGTCCTTACCACATGAGTCTCTCTGGGGCTGCTTGAGCATCCTTACGACATGGCAGCTGGCTTCACCCAGAGTAAGTGATCCAGTAGAGAGAGGACACGCGGGAAGCCACAGTATGTTTTAGGACCCAGTCTTCGAAGTCACACACCACCACCTCGGCCTTCTTCTGTTTGTTGGAAGTGAGTCATTAGGTCCAGCCCCCACTCATGGGCAGGGAGATTAATCTCCACCTCTTGAAGGAAGGAGTATCAGAGAATGTGTGGAGATATTTTGAAACCACCGCAGGGTCATATTTCCTGGTGCTCTGGTGATGAGGACACAGGAGCTTACCCAGGTCCTGGGAAGTGACAGAGCCCCGTAGTTCCAGGGGTCTTAGTCCAGGTGCAGCCAAGGGAGCCCTGGTCCTGCTTTGCCACTTACTAGCTATGTAACTATGCGTGAACCACCTAACCACGCTGAGCTTCAATTTCCTCATCGTAAAATAGACGTAAAGATCCTGCTTCCCCACCTCAATGTGTGGTTGTGAAAAGGCTTTTTGTTACAGCCCGCAGCAGCCAGGAAACCTCCGGGAGCAGGGAGGGGCCTGGGGTGTCCCGGTCCTGAATGGGGACTCCGGCTCCTGCCCTCCC